ATGGGCTCATCTTTGCCCGATGGTCTAGGCTTGGCCATTATAGGACAAGTATAAGTATCCCCTTTGACCAATTCGACCAAACACACTTCTGCCTGATCGTATGACTCGTCGTCGATGGTATGAACGTCAAAATTTGGGTCTTTGTAATAAGTCCCTTTACTAGAATTTTTCATTTGTTCTTCCTCTCTTATCAGTCGCTCATACCTAATCACATTCGCACTCAATTGGAAAAGGTCAGGAATTCCTTGTCCTGGAACTTCTTTTTTAAATCAAAGCTCAAGCAGCCCTGAGCGATTTTGACAAATTCTTTTTCGGGTAGAGGTACAAAACACTTGCTTCTTATTGTCTTGAACCTTTGGAGAAAACTTTATGCCCATTCGTTTGGCATTTGACGTAGATTCGCCAAATCAGCCAAAGTGATTTCAGACTCAGTTTTATAAAACTGAGCGTGAAACAACTGTTCCAATTGTTGCCATGTTTGAACAGAGTTCGCTGGCAAGTTGATGAACCAGGAGAAAGCTACTCCTGTTAACGAACTAGGGAAAAGCCTCATTTTATGGTAATCGGTTACATCACCACTTTGCAATGTGAATCGCCCTATGTGTTCTAGAGTAGACACTTCTCCTAAACCGGTAAACAGTGAGAATTCTGGCACTTTGTACCCTCTAGGCCATGGATATGCTTGGTCTACCCGATCAGAATATGGTTTTGTGTACGTCGGTCTAATGACGGGACGCACCCCAAAAGCCATCTGATCCTGTACGATTTTCACAATCTAGTTCCTCAACATGACGTTGAGATCATATGAAATTCCTACAGGCTGATTAACCGGTTGATTTGCATGAGGCCTGATGTTTGATCCTTGGTTGGCAACAAAATTACCATAATTAGGGCCATTACCATTAGCCTGAACAAATGTTCCCTCATTAACACATGGGGTGTGCTGTCCATTGTTTAGGACATTATCTCTTATGTTTGGATTACCTCCCAAGTTAGGCATACTACTACCATTGTTCTGATTTGGCACTGTAGTACCCCCTTGGTTTGAAGTAGAGGGACCAGAAAGCGGTTTTACCCCTTGATTCGGATTGAGGACCAAGGGATTATGTCCCACAATTGTCCTAGTTTGAAAGTGGTTTGTAAGAGGTATAGCTGGTTGACATATTTGGCCTACAAACTTATTCATTGTTTCGTTCAACGTCTTTAGTTGTTTGGCCATGTTGTCATAGTGTACATTCCCATTTTGTGTAAATCTTTCCATATTATGAATACTTCAAAGATTTACCTGTTCAACGACGTCTTGCGTGAGTTCCCCAAGTAATGCACGCATGGTTCGAGGACTCAACTCCGTCATTGGTTTGTAACGACTGTTACTGCTCTGGTTCTGTCCATCTGTTCGTGGAGAGGTATGCTGCTCCTCATATCGCTCGATCACATACTGGATTCCTCCCTGACTTGCTACTTCCTTATCGGATCTCTGAGGCATATTGTTTCACCTTTTGTACTTTCAACACCTAACACCACTGTCCCACTGGACGTGCCAAATTGTTTCGCGCGAGTTATTCGCTAACAATTAAAAAGGATCAGACGATTGTGTAAGGGACAAAACCTCTTGAGACAAAGTCCCAAAAAGGGGTGTTCTTTTATTGGCGATGACTTTACAATTGGGAATGAAAAACAACGTGCCTCCAAGGGGCGCAAGCACACGAGTTACTGAAAGAAAAGTGTTTAAATCTAAAAACTAAGAAAATGAAAATTACATGTTCTCTATTCGAGAGTTTTGGATTCGGTCCTTTGCTCTATGTTTTCTTCTCCCTTTTATACTTCACAGACGATCTCTTTGTGATCAACCGCCCTAAAACCGCTTGATCATCCTATAACTGCCCACTTTCCTCATAATGGCCAACTTGTCATGAAAACTGCCTTTTTTAACTGCTGCCATTACTCTTCATCGTTCAACCGCTTTCGATTGAATTCCTTGAATCATGGAACGTGATAGGGCTGCTTTAATAACTGCTTTGATAACTGCACTTCTTGATAACCACGACGCTTTATTTTTGTTAAGACCTTGGGCGACTTGAAGGTTTGGGCGAGAATAGAGTAACAGCTCTGGGCGACTGTATGGCACTCCATTCGCTCAGATTCTGGGCGACTTGCCGCGTTCTTGGGCCTCCCTATTTGGGCCTTTATCTTGATTTGTTCGATTGGGTTTCGTTCTTTGGGCTATCTGATTTGGGGATCCTCCAATTGGGTTTCACTCCTTGGGCTGTTCGATTTGGGCTGAATTTTTATGTGTCAACACTTTCAATGGTACCCTTTGCATAAATATGTATCAAATCAACTTTGTTTATTCACAATTTAATTCATACAACTTTTTTTGTATGTATAATGTCTTTCGATATCAACAAAGTCCAACAGCTCTTTCATCATTGATGCTCCTTTCGAACAAGCTCTTGAGTTAAAGTCTTTGGTAATTGCTCTTAAATCCTTTGTCTACTTTTGTTCACTTAATATACTCTGATCTGAAATACTACAGCACAAAATGTTAAAGCTACATTGTTATGGTAACAATGTAGTTACCTCAGAAAGTATGCTAGAGATCTTGTGCAATAGAAAGTTCAAGATAAATTTTGCCTTATAAATCCAGTCAATGCTTAAAAATTGAAGGTAAAAACATGTGCTCTTTTCTCTTATAAGTAAAAAAGTCCCAGCCATAAATCAATGATGTAACTAAACAAATATGTGTATATGTGAAGTGTTAGGATGGTGTATAAACCTACTAATTTACTTATGCCTATCTACTTTATTCAAGTTTTCGAGTTAACTTTAATCACATCTAATACAATGGTGGATGCAAATCTTCAAAAGCTGAATGAGATTGTAACCAAGAAATGTTATTATGCATTGACTTCCTCAAGAGTGTCCATTCCAAACAAAGACAAAATAACTCAAATTAGAAATATAAAGTGACTTTTACTCAGTGGTAAGTAACCTTGTTTTTATATATAATCTTTCTAAACTCTAAAATATTTTCCTCAGTATTTATTTTTAAACGTACATATAATTAAATCATCCTTATTCTATTAACATGGCAAAGTTAGTTTTGGTTAAAAGCAAAACCACATATAACACATTATGATCAATCTTTCTTGTACATGTCATGCAACAACAGCAATAAATCTACATACACCAATTTCGTTGAAATCCATTGTTGCTCAGTTTGTAGATACTCTCAAGCCTATGGTGTTCCAATGTAATAATTGCGTATACATCAAATAGAATTTATATTATATGTTTTTCTAACTCTTATGTCATCTATGTGATATTGCTATAGGGCAAGAGCTTCTATCCAATAGCAAGATTCATCAGGATATATTGATGCTACAATTATAGGAGAGCTTGCTGAGAATTTCTTACAGTGCTCCACACTCATGTTGATGAAACAAACAACTCTGGTACCCACCTCAAACATATTTTAAAATTATTATGCTATCAGACATTCATTTACATTGCTAAATCTAGCATTCCTATTTCAGCATGACAAGACTAATCTTCAATAAGCAATCCACAACTCAACAAACGAAAATCTATTTTTCTATGTGAAAGTTGTGAAGCAGAAAAATGGTGAAGAATACAAGTACGATGTCATCTTCATTGTAGATACATCTTCCACAACAGAAAAAAGCTCACATGTAAGCATTGATGAAAGCACATCTTTAACTCCACTTGCTGAATCACTACACTTGATGTAGCATGATTGTAAGGAATCATCGGCCAAAAGGGTATTATTCTCAACTTCCAGTCCTTCAGATTCCAAAAACAAAGAAGATGAAAGAGATGATAGTGGCAAATGCAAGGGCAAAGGCATTGCGTTGAATGAATCCATTGATGAGAATTTTGAATGCTGCAGAATGTTTAAGCATGGGAGAAAATGATACAAGTTAGAAATTTATTTATTTTAATTTTATTTTTGTCTCATCCCGGTTTCAAGTTCAAGATGTAGCAAGAAAGAGATTCTGATACTTGTATATGAACTTTAAAATACCACTTGTATTTCAAGGTACTCATGAAATAGTTATTGAGCCAAACATTATCTGTAGTTTGGCTCTATAACTGTTCTACGTTTGTACTTTGATATTCTGATTAGTTATGTTAAATAGTCGATGGTTTACTATCTTCTTGGTTGATGTTTGTCTCCACCTGTCTCCATTGTGTAGATTCTACAGCTTCTGATTCATAAGAAAAAGAAATTTTATAAATAGTTTCTTGTGATTCCTCTAAATGCTGCTAACGTTTTAACCCAACTGCATTATTTGCAAGGTAGGTGACGATTTCCCTCTTTCTTATTGAAGAATCAAGTTGGTGGAATTTTTGAAGTTGCAATATTGAAACATTTTTGGTACAATGGTTGCTTTAGTTAATTTATTCGAAAAATGACCTGTTCAAAACAGTCGGAAATATTTAGACTTGTTTGCCCTGTGGAAATGAGCATATTTACAAATGCGTGATACATTTAAAAATAACATTAACCAAATATTTACACCATTATTTTTAACACTAACCGACGTACAAAGCATGTTCACTTCACTAGTATTTGAAAAAAAACTCCAAGCTGTCCAATTTTCGATGTGTAATGCCAGGTTTAGTCTACGTGGTAACACAACCTTGTTTGATAGAAATTAAAATATAAGTCAAAGTTAAAAATTAATTTTAATCACAAATTGCATGGACCCGCAAATTTGCAACTGTATATTTCATTAACTTTTATTAAAATCTAATAAAAATATTATAAAAGTAAGAAAATAGGATCCATGTTATTGGACCTATCATTCAATTTTCAATGTCATCTAAACCTGATATTGGATATCAGTGATGACAAATAACATTACCATGCTAAATTACATTCCTCAATTTTAATCATTTACAAAGCCTAATGCTTTTTAGTACAATAAAAAGTTGAAACAGAATATATCATCATCAGTAGGCATGGATAATCTCAATAAGCTAAATACAAAGTTATATCTGCTGTATTTTATTGATAATTTCATTCCTTTTCAAAGTCAACAAATTTCAAGATCAAACTTGATGGTTTTTATACTAAAGAAAAACAAAATTGCACTCCTAGGGACGCTCGAATACAAGTCTAAGGCACATTGTCCAGGTGAGTCACTAACTTGAGGTTAAAATGAATATCGCGAAATAGAGATTATGGCAACTAACATTTTTATCTCGCTTTCCTCCTTAATAAAGAGAAGCTGCATATTTCAATAAATTACACCACTTCGAGAAGCCTAGACCGCAACTGGTTGAGCAATTGGACTAGAACTGTTGACTTTAACCTGCAGTAAGTGAAACATACAGAAGAAAAATATTACTTTGTATTGCTGAAATTAGATGACTTTGACCGGCTGAAAATACATTTGCAATATACAGAAGCTGTCTTGATGCATATCATTCGTGCGTAATAGGTCATCTAATGTACCAGCGAAAAATGAGAGGGAACTTTGGTTCAGGTCCTAGTGAGGGTATCCTACTTACCTGCAATTTATATATGCAAGCGTGTAAGGTATTCTCGAAACGACTTGGAAATCTTATCTTGGATTTCCAAGCAAGAGACAAACACAACCTAACAATATTTTTACGCAGATTTGAACTCCTAGTTGCAAGGTTTTCACTGTGACAACTTCAGCCAGCTATAAAAGATAAGTTCAGTATTTTAGAGGGTCAAGATGCAGACACAAATGGACAATGTTGTCCTCTATTGCCTCTTGACATGAATCCTCAGTGCAATTAGGGGTTTTATCAGGGGAAAAAAAATTCTATTGAGGAAAAAGAGATATTACCTTTGCTGATTTGAAGAGCTCGTCTAGAACTTCAGACAGTGTTGGATGCGCATGAACAGCGAATTTTAAGTCCTGCAGAGTTCATAACTTATAATGAATAATAAACAACAGTAAGATTATTTTAATTGATGTAGAAAACTTGGTGAATCCTGCAAACAAAAGTACGTAAGAGTAGGCCAAAAGATTCTTGAATTCAAACAATTTAAACGGTAGATGAGTCTAGTTTATATTATCCACGTCATCTAAATGCTATCTGTCTTCTTTTAAAGATACAAGTAAGTCCAAGTATGAGTATTCGGTTGTCTGAGTGATTTCACTTGCATTTTTATTACTCGATATGCATTTTGTGTACTATCTGTCTGAATAGCTACATGCATTCTTGGCCCCATTAACAAGTTATTTGTCATCCCACTTGTAGAAGCAAATGCAAATTTAAAGGCAAAATCTACCTGTATACGTGTTCCCATTGCTATGGCATTTGATGCTTCATGTATGAGGTCTGCAGCATGCATCCCAAAGATGTGAACCCCAAGGATCTCTCCAGTGTCAGGTCTGTAAATTAACTGCATGAAAATAATAGATTTGGTTAGTATTCATTCCCTACCAATCAAAAGCAAAAACTGCAGTACATCAGTGACGGATCCAGGATTTGTGGGTAGAGAGTTGTCATAAGTTGGAGCATATCTAGGGAGTGGAGTTTGCAGAGAAATTATGTGAGTGTGACCGTACAATTATTTGAAGCTTGCCCTCTTCCCCAAGTTATCCCACTTTTTGCTATCATGAAGAACTAAATGAGGACAAAGTATCGACCATTCATACTTTTGACGAAACAATTTCTAAATAATCATGCATCACCTTGGCAAGTCCTTCTCCTTCATTTTCTGCAAGGGCTTTTGTGTTAGCTTTGAAACTTGTCTTTGTAATACTCATTTCAAATCCTTCCTTCTCAGCTTTTTCTCTTGCTTGAGGCTGCCAAAGTATAGATTATTCAAGCAAAATTTTATAGAATAAATTAATAGTATCCAGAAAAGTCATCTGCAAGAATTATCTACACATTTTTATCTATTTCTTTAATGTTCTATCCACTAATTGATGGACATAAACCCATCGAGAAGGATGGAATTTTTATAAAATGGATGCTATAAAAATTAGATAGATAGTTAAGATCAAGTAAAATAATGAAATATCGTCATTTTAAAAGGTGTTAGTAAAAATGCTCTTTCCCTCCCTGTGTGTGATCGCGTGTGCGTGTGGGTGAATGTTTCAGACAGGCAATACCCCAGAGCAAGCTAATCAGAACAAAAAGGAAGCTTTCTGTTTATAATCTCTACTATAGTATCTGAAGGGCGGTGAAATCTTCTCCTGCAATCAGTGGTGGCAATAGGAAAATTTTCTTCTTCAAAACACGAATTAAGATGCTGTCGATGAGTATGGGGATTAATATGCAAATTTAGAGAATGTAAATATAACCATCAAAGCAACTAAATCCTCACAAACAGTAACCTTTACTACATAATATAACTTCCATGCTGGCTTTCCACAAGGATGCACGTCTACATAACTATATAAAAAGAAAAGTTAATTTCTGAAATAGCAGGCAATTTACTCACAGAGAGAGAGAGAGAGAGAGAGAGAGAGAGAGAGAGAGAGAGA